TGTCATCATGTGATCATTAATTCCTAGCTCTTACCTATCAAGGTCGTGGCCAGCAAGAGTAACACCACCAGAATGTCTATCAACATAAAGCTTAAGATTACTCTGACCTTCATCTGTAAGGAGAGAGGGGGAGAGAGGGAGGGGGAGGGAGGGAGAGAGAGAGGGGGAGGGAGAGAGAGAGAGAGGGAAAGAGAAAGGGAGGGAGAGAGAGGGAGAGAGAGAGGGAGGGAGAGAGAGAGAGAGAGAGAGAGAGGGAGGGAGAAAGAGAGAGATAAAGGGATTGAGATTTGAGCAAATATTTATAATGTCTACTTACCATCAGAGGCTGGTGTCAGATCATGATTTGCTATGAGTTGATTCACGAGTGATTCAGTATCAACTCTCGATTGCTCTAATGTTGATAACACTGAGATCTGACAATAAAAATAATTCAAATAAAATTATTAATAAGATAACAATAGACGTACCTTAGTTTTATTACTGCTCAATGATGCAGCATCTTGTAGATATTCCCGTTGAGATAACACACTAAAATAATAATAAAATTAATTAATAAAAATTAATTAATTAGTTAAGCTCCACCCACCTGACGCTACTGTGTCTCTTATGGTTCCCCATTATAAGAGGAGAGGGTGTCTGAGGGTTGGATCCTCCTCCTCCCATACTAGCCTGCCGTCGGTGAGACCCAGAGCTGAAACTAGCCGTAATACGAGAACCCTGGACACTGGGACCTAACTTAGGCCGTCTCATTGGAGGTGGGAGGAGCCCCAGTGGTGACCCCTCCCTCTCTTGCTTCCGGAGTCCTGGCGAGTGGCGGAGGTCCCTAAAACTGTTTGTGAGTCTCTCGGACCTCGAATCTTCCTCGTTAGTGGGCGTGGGCGGGACTAGCTCGGTGATCAGAGGGGGTGTAGTCTCATTTGAAGAGGAAAGGCTACTCTCACTCTCGCTCTCAGATTTATTTTTACTCGAATTCGTTTGAAGTGTTCCCACGGTAATCTGTGACGGACATTGTTCGACTACGGTCTCTTCGGAGCCACTCTCGTCCCCTCTGCTTACTCCACCCACTGCCACGCCCATAGTCTCTTCTAGTGCCCCACCCACTGCACCTTTCACTTCACTCTCGGCTCCACCCTTTTCAAGAAACAGTGTCGAAGGTTCTTTTGAAATATCGCTCGTACTTGCTTTAAGATTACCAGCACTGCTACTGTGACTGGACCAGGTAATATTAGTACCTAATTATAATTAATAATAATAAATTAATATTAATAGACCACACCCATTTAATTAAAAGCCACACCCATTCCCATCTCACCAGTACTGTGTGAGCTCATTGTGCTCCCAGTGCTTGCTCGGTGGCCCCGCCCATAAAGATTAGAGAGCCAGTCGTCTTGAAATCCTTCGTCCTCTTCTCCAGTGACCACCTGAGGAAGGTCAAAACCTCTCGTATCAGGACTGAGAGAAAAGAGAAAAATAATAATAATTAAATTAATTCATTTACATGTACAATTACATGCATAACAATGTACATTGAGTGTACATGTACATGTACACTCAATGTACATGTACATGTACAGTGTACATGTACATGAATTTGCTTACGCTTTAAAAACGATGTCTCCAGATGTTTGCCGTAAATAAACTTTGACCTTTAAAAAAAGAGACAGAGAGAAAGAGTGAGAGAGAGGAAGAGAGAGAGAGAGAGAGAAAGGAAGAGATTATAATTATTTTTATAATACAGATGTGCAATCATCATGAACTCCTGGTGCTATACATGACATCAATTAGCATGCACTACTAATATGGTAAAATAACCAAGTGTTGAGTAGCTGAACTAAACTAAACACACACTCATACACAATACATCATAGTACAATTAATACATGTACATGTACAGTACA